TCCCATGTTTCCTCTCATTGTCGCAGCTCGTATCTTCATCGATGGCCGCATCAAATTTTTTGCGGCTGGTAGCTATGATTCGAGCCCATCCGCCATCGTCGGTCTTGCTGGGACGGCGGGTAGATGGGCTCACGACCACCAAGGGATTTGCCGAGAGCGGGGTACCAAACCATATAGTGGTTGGTCCATTGCCGATGGACGTTCTGGCGTGAAATTTTCCAAGGCGACAAGTCTGCGGGACATTATGGGACATGTGCTGACAGGGGTTGTCCAGGCCCTTTTGCCAACTTGTGGCTCCTCTAAAATAATTTCAAAAGTCTAGGAAGTCATCGGCCCTCAGCCTCTGCATGTTTTTCGGTTTAGCTTATGTTGCAGCCATAGTGCATGCTTGTCCACAAGTGTTGTGGAAATCACTGCAGTTGCTGAATGCTGTGTGGGTAGTGCGCAGGATGTGAAAATTATTGCGGGCGCGTGCATAAGGACTCTATCCTTTCGAAGATGAGTCCTTTGCAACAGCATTGTTCCTTTATGCGATTGCTTTGCTTTTAGTAAAGCCTTCATTTGTTGAACAAATTGTTCTTTCACAGAAAAACATGAACAATTGCAAACATCTTGCTTCTACAGAACAAATGTAGATCTTTTCATGCCTCGTGTGAGACAATTTTTTGGTCTGCATTTTTAACAACAAACGCGCGCATGTTTCAATCCAATTTCCAAATACCTGCTTGCCTTCAGGGACTTTTCAAGTTGAATCCGCTTGCACAGGTGTGCCCAGGATGCCGTTTCTTCACATTTGTAGAAGATCAAGTCGTGACAACATTGTTGTCTTGATGGGGGTTCCCCTTACCAAGGAAGTCGGTGAGAAAAAAAGATTGTTGCTGTCCCCCTAGGTATGGTTTGACAACATATCTTGACGCAAAATCCTACGAACCGCCCACAAAGAAGAACCAAAGATGCTTAAGCAAAAATGAAAGAACTCACAAGCGCGATGGAGCGCCCTGTTTTGCTTGCTTGCTGCTTGAGCCAAAGTCCTGTGATCCTTGAATGACGACATGGGCGACTCTGTGTGTCTGTCACCCTGCCATCATTTCCATGAACTCAGCAATGTGGCCTTACTCGATCAAATTCCTTTCCGGTGTCTTGAACACCATTCTTGAAAATCTGAAATCAGCTGCCGCATAGCCAAGGCTTTCGCTTCCCCTTGGCCTTGCCGCCGCTCTCTTGTTCATCGTAATTCTCTTCTTGGCTCTCCATTGCCTTTGGCATGCGGCCCTGTGTTCTCAGACCGTTAGCCTTTGCCTGTCCCTCTTTCATCTGCACTCTCTTGCTTTCCACCTTCTTTCGACTTCTACAACCTCATAAACCTCATAGTCTTCGAAGCTTTCATCTTCACCGCCTCCGTCTCTCGCAGTTCGATCATTGGGCCCTCTGCGCCCAACTCTGTCTGGTGCTCCATATGGACCATAGTTCACGCTCACCCATCCATCTGGCCATCTTGACTCCTCTAGCTAGCGGTGCATTCGGGTCTTCATGGCCTTCTCTGATGTGGTAAACGCACTGCTTCACAAGTAGCTGATAAAAATCTTGTCCTTGCTTTTGGTCCTCCACACTGCGCATCTTCGAAACAATCCATGAAGGTTTCAACGGCGTCGTCCACTGACTCATCATCTGGATCATCTCTCTTCATCTGTCTGAAGTTTCTGCATGAGGTACATCTCAACGCCAACTCATTCTCGAATCAGCTTCAGCCTCATTCAGGTTCTCACAGTCCCAGTCGCGCTCATAGCTTCCTTCTAGGCTTCCATAGTCCGTTGGTGCTTCTGATGGGACATTTTTTGTTTCATTCGACTCTTCATCACCATCATCTTCATCTTGTTGTCGTCCAAGATATGATGCCACTGTTTCGAACGCTTGTGGGTCTCTTGATCCTCGGGCTGGTTCTGTTTCGAACTCTTCTTCCTCCTCCTCCTCTTCTTCTTCTTCTCGGCCTTCGTTCCAGTTTCTTGCACGCGGGGGCATGGTAGTCACAACGTGATTGACTGAACAGAAGTAGTAATTTTCATCACCGAGGGTTGTCATAGCGGGGACATGGGTGCTCATACATGAGAGCAAGATCAGAGTATTTCTTCTTGTAGTGTGGAATCTTGGGAGAGCAGCGTAGCCAGCTTAGCGCTCTAACATTGAGAAATGGATTTTCGCTCCTGACATGTGCCTTACATGTCTCGCGCTTCTTGTGTAGCTGATAGTCGTGTTTCCAGAGTCCAGAGTCCAGAGTCCAGGGTTTGGCTGCTGCCCGGGACGGTGATGGAATGTGCGTCGCTGTGTCCATAGCAGCTTTTGGTCGTGCGAAGAATCAGATGGATTTCCCAAAGCTTGCTCTGATGTCGTCTGGGGCGCTGCCTCCTTGGGGGGCTGGCGGTTTTCAAAGCCAAACAATGAAACGGAACCTTGGGTGTCTTCTTGTTTTCGAAAACAGCTTCTGTTCAAGTTCAAGCAGGTGTTCATAAGATTTCATTTAACCTGTTTTCGCTTTCCGTGGAAGGTTTTGGCCGCAGTTGCTTTGCCAGTGCGTGGTGCAGTAGTGTGGTGGTGCGTGACTGTGTGCATGTGCGTGCGCTGTGCGGCTGTGCGCGCGTGAATGTGTGGGCGCGTGCCACGTGCGTGCGTGTGTGCATTCGTGCCAGCGGTCAGGTGTGCGCGCAGACGTGCGTGCGTGCGTGTGTGTGTGTGTGTGATTTAAGTGTGTGTTTGGGCATGTATGCGTGCGTGTTTGTGTTGTCACACGTAGATCAGTAGATCGTATATAGGTTCTTGTTGTGTTTCAGTGGTTGCGCCGTCCGGTGCATCAGAAAGAAAGAACTCATCAACAACACGGACAACGCAACGCGATGCCCCACTTTGCCAAAACCACAAGCCAAAAGTAGCGTCAGCATCCAGCAGTTGTGCCTCCCTGCGCCTATGTTTCTTTTATTCTGTTTCGTGGGAACAACCGGGCAACCGACTGCAGGGACCTGCAGGGAGTTTGCGAACCTGTGTCCTGTCACATGCTTCCTCTACAACTGTGGGAGGTGGGCCTTGAAGTCACTTGGTGACTTGGTGTGCTAGCAGTCTGTGCTGAGTGGAGTGGTGATATTTGACGCACTGTCCATGTTCCCTGCGCGAGTGCAAGTGCAAGCCCCGCGGGTTTTCAGAAGAGCGTCGTGCCCTTAACTTCTTGTGTCTTATAAGCAATGGGCCCGCAATAAAATACAATGTTTGTTTGGGTTTCGCTGCCACTGACGCAACAGTTTTCTCACATCTTGCCGCATACTTAAAACAGGTCGGGCGTTTAACTAATTAGTTAATACGTTTGTTGCGCGAAACGAAAACGAAACTGCTTTCTTGTCGTGATTTCTCAGAGATTCTCAGCGAGCGGCAGGCTTTTGCGTGATTTTTTAAACGAAACGCTTTGTGACTTGGTGTTCTCACAGAGCACAGGTTTTTTTTTGAACGACTTTTCTGTTGTGCGTGAAGCGAAAGTGACTGGGTACAGAGCGCTTCCGTGTCGAGTGCTGTTGCTCACCTTTTCTAGTGTTTCAGCCACTGCAGGGCAGAATTTCATTTCGAAGTCTTGCAGGCAATCTGTTGCAATAAGGATAGCCTTCTGATTTGGGGTATTGTGTTTTGTTCAACAAAACCAGGGAAGAGTCGAGTTATAGGATGCACCCTCAAAGAGCCTCAATGGCAAATATTTTTGTTTCGGGAATGCGTCAACTTCTGGCAGCCATGGCCATGGCAGAGGCCGTGTATTGCTTATGGCTTTGTGGTTCGTTCTCGAAAAGGACTCGGGGCTTCGCTGGGAAAACGGACAGCTTACGCGCAGCAGAAGAAAGAGTTCTGCGAGGCAAATTTGCCGACGCAAATGAACACCAGGGTGTCTTAGAAGGAACTCCGATCCGAAAACTTGTGCAGATGGACCAGTCTACCTCCAAATCGTGCCATGTGATTGGCCTTGCGTTTCTTCGAGTGTCTGGGATGTACTCATCCATTCTGGATGCGCTTACAGCAGAGCAAAGAACAGTGTTCCTGGGCTTGTCAGTTTTTTCATGGTAGTTTGATGTAAGTTGCAAGTCCGACAGTGTTTGTGTGTTGAGTGTGTGTTTGTGATTGTGTGTTTCGTTGAGTCCTGAGGCTGGCGCTTCGTTCATCTGAGCATGGTGTCATTGGCGCTTGCTTCGGTGAGATTATACGCTTTGTCCGGTTGGTGGAGCCAGAGTTTGCAATCCATGAAGGTGGCTCTGAGAGGGCCACAACTGAGGCCTTCACCCTTACACCTCAATGTGTGGACAGGATGCTTCAGCAAGTGAACTCAGCTGGGACAGTGCAAGAAGATTTCGAGCAAGCTTTGTCTTTTTGTGCAAGGCTAGGGTTTGCTGTGCAGAACGCGCAGCCTGACTTGCCATCCAATTGTACAAAAACTTGTTTCCAGATTCCTGTGGGGATAGGACACTTGATCCACAAGGGGCTGTGGAGTACTGTAGCCTTTTCCCACACTGCAAGATGGGAGCCAGATTGTGATGCAGCTCCATTGCAGCGGAGAGTCCGTGCGCTAGCGTCCCAGATGCAGAATGCTGGAGATCAACCACAAATTTTTGTAGGCGCCAAGGAATTCCAACCAGCTAATGCCATGTATTCGAACTTAGCTGATGATCTGTGCGAGTGGGTAGAAGCCATCGTGTCGCAATCCGAGGATCCATCTCAAGCCAGTGATGCGCTAGAGCAATATGTCATTTGGCTTAACAGCATGAGAGAAGCAACAAGCAATCGCAGGTTCGCAGAGTATGCTTGGGAAAGCGTTTCTTGCAAGCTGGGGGGGGGGAAATACAATCCTGTTTTGCAGAGCGTCGGTCGCTACAGAGCTTGCTTTCTGCTGCAGTGTTTGCTTTTCAGTATGCACTTGAAATCTGCCAGCTCGGTCGCAGCTTCGTTGAGAAGAGCCTTTGCGCTGCTACCAGATGTTTGGAGCAAGACCTTGGAAGATCTGTTTTCGTGCATGACCACTCCGTCGGGTGCCACCATGTCCCGGGCACGGTTGTACTTAGATTGCTCTTTCATGCACATCATGAGGCATCGCCATGCAGATCTGGTCCGTCAAAAGTCTGTCATATTCGCGTTGGTTGACAGCTCGCCGCAGGGTAATCACAATTGGATGATGACCGAATACTTTGGTGTCCAAGGTGAGAAGCTTCTGCATGCTGCAGACTTGGTTCGATGCAACGCTTCTTTTAAAGATATGGCAGATCTTTCCAGGTCTGACTTGGAAGCAAATCTGGATAACATGGATGAGGTTCAGGCTGTTTGCTTCCATCACACATGTCCTCCCACAGCACTGGGTCTCAGACATGCCACTCTCGCTCACAAAGTGCATGCAATCTTGCACTCTTTCCGCCTGGAAAGTAGCTCGTGGTCTAGTGTGCAGGGTCTCCTTGATTGCATTTTTGCCATCACGTCTGACCAGGGAACAGAAAGTGAAGTAAGCCTAGCCACAGTGCCGTTGCAATCGATGTTTCCATATTGGACCCAGCAGGGGCAGATTGAATTTGAAGTCGATGCAGGTGCCAATGTTGATATTCCAGAGCAAGGAGCAGAGAGGGACCCTGATCCTGATTCGTTGTCCTTTACCAAATCCTTGTATGTTGCCGGAATGTTTCATTTGATTGATGGCATCACAAAAGACCTTCTCAAGAAGTCTCTGTGTTGGAGTGAAGTGAAGCCTTTGCTGGACGCGGTGCTCCAATTCTTTCATGGCGGACACAACCGGCAGCTATTTGTTAGCAAGTGTTTCTCAGAAGGCAATCGTGGTTTCGAGTTTTTGTTTCGAGCCGGGCCAGCCAAGCTTGAAGGGGGTCGAGCGTGGGGTGTTCTTGAAAAAGGTGTTGATTGGGTTCTAGCCAGGCGCCATGTCCTCCGGCAAACTTGGAATGCTGCCGCTTTCGGGGCACAGCCTGATGAGGCTGAGCAAGGTCAGGGTGAGGGCCGTGATGGTGTGCAAGATACTTCAAAGCTTGTTAGCAAAGTGTCTGAGGCAGTAGGGTCTGACTTCTTTTGGGCTTATTTGCGCATGTTGCAGTGCATCACTTCCATTTTGCAAGAGACCTCGGCGTGGACCCAGAGCTGTCCGTGTCATTCGGTAGAAACTTTGGCAAGTTTGAAAGAGGTGAGCCAGGCCAGACAAGCTGGGGAATTTGTGAAATGCCCGATGCGTGGGAGACGGGCCCCAGAGGTTGCTGCTGGGGAGTTCGCTGAATTCATCAATACCTTGGTCCAATACAATGATTCTCGCTTTGTAATGCGAAGCGTGGCCGGTTTGGAAGGTGAGGCGAAAGACAAGATCACTCTTGATTGGTCGAACATGAAAGCTTACATTAAGACTGCTTGCTCTTTGAAACTTAGTGCGTGGCAGCATTTGCCTCTTAGCATGCTGGGCATCGGTCACACGGACCCTGCTACAGCCAGGTTGTCAGCTTGGAGGAGTTTGTCTGAGTTCAATGAGTTGTCAGAATCGGCGCAAGATGCAGTGCGCCCAGTGGTGAGAAGGCTTCTCAGTGGGGATGGTGAGCGACAAATGCTGGCTTTTCTTCGTGAGGAAGATTCATCTGTTTGGCCTGATTTGGATGTGTTCCGTGCCCAGTGCATGTTCGTGCCAATTCTTGAGCAGTCCATTGAAAGACGCCATGCTGTTTTGCACCAGCATATCAAATCTGCACCTCATCATTCCGCTCCTTTCGTTTCAGTGTCTGAGCGGAAACATGAGATTTTGAACTATGTCCAAGACAAAAGCATTGACACGATGGCTGAAATTTGTGAGTCGGTTCGTGCCCCGGCTTTGGTTGCAGAGAGTTTGGGGTTGCAAAAACATCCAGACCTAGCTGCTTGGTGGCGACCGGAAAGGGGTTCCCTGGAGATTTCAACATCTCACGCTGTAGTTGCTGCCTTGGTTTATCGGTGTGATTCATCAGCTCAATTTCTAGCCCTGCCCTCTGTGCAAAAGCCACCGCGCCATCCTCAGAATTTGCCAGTCTTGCTTGATGAGGCTGGTAATCAGCATGAGATCCAGGTTGTTGACGAAGCAGGTGCAGCTGCGGCGTCAAGTTCCGATGCTGTCGTGCCTGTGCAGCCAGGGGATTCGTTCCTAACAAAACTCATGGAACATCATGCTTTCCAGCATTTTTGCTCAGCTTCTACCGCAGCAGATGTGTATTCCATTGACCCGAGCCAAGCCTTGCCTGGTCATTCTTCGTCGCTTATGTTGCCAATGCAGCAAGTCTTGACCACAGGCTTGCCAGGTGCCAGGTTTCGTGTTCCAAAGTGTTTGCTTGATGGCGCAGCCACAGACCAGGCGTCAGTAGAGTTCACCTTTGAAGATGATTGCGGCGTGCCAACTCTTCCAGAGCAGCAGCCTAAACACATGGAAATTATTGAAGGTAAGAAGCACCCCCATGTTTTTTTCCGACTTTCGTCCGGGAACATTGCAGGGAAGAAACGCATGCGTTTGGATGCCGGCTTCGATGTGACATCAGATCATGTTGCTGTTGAGTGCTGCGCCATCAGCCATTTTGACCAGACCAACAGGCAAGTGCATCTACAGATGTCGTCTAAAGAACCTGATTTGTTTCAGCGTCCAGCCTCCATGTGTTCTTTCTACAAATGGGAAGTCGTGAAAACATGCTCTGGCTTGAGAGGCATAGAGCTGACCCCTGAAGCCAGCGCTGCACTTGACCTGCTCATGACATCAGCGGACAATGCAGAGGAAGAGGAGTGTCTTGTTTTGTCCAAAGCCACTGAAGAGTACAAAAGTTATGAGCCAGGGTTGGAGTTCTTGTGTGGTGCAGGCGTGGTGGAGCGCCATGAATTGATAGGTGACATTTGCAAGTGGACTCTGACCAATCATGGCGGTGACAAATTGATTCCTCTCATCATCGTGCAAAAGCCTAGGTGCATCACCAGAATGCATGTTGACAGTTCGAAGGACCCAGGGAAGATGACCACAATGGAATTGATACGGCGCCTGACAGACCAAGGTTTCGAGATGCAACTTTTGCCTTCCAAAAGCAAACGCATCCCGCCTGCTTTCGATCTTTCGACCAAAGCACCGAAAGTATGGTGGACGAAGGAGACTGAAACCTATTCAGTGTCTAGGTGGTATTTGCTGGCTTTGTTGAGCACAGAATCTGTGATTGCCCATGGTCACACTGAAGTTTTGCATTGCCAGAACAACGAATACTACCGAGATTTGTTGTCTCTCCCAGTTCGCAAAGGGAAACGCAAACATCAGGGTCAAAAGAGTTTGATGTTTCAAGCTGACACAGGGGCTGAACCACTTGCGGATGCATCGCCTTCTGCGCCTGCGCCTTTACCATTGCCTGCGCCAAGGCGTGAGCTTGTGGACAGGGAAGCGAAAGAACCTCAAGCCGACGCGCACCCTGCTGCAAAGAAGCCTGTTCGTAGGGGGCAACATGATAAAACCTTTTTTTGGGGTCCTGCTCTACTCACCTTCTCAGAGCCCAATCGATGGCAGGCCACATGCCCCAGAACATGCTCGCATAGACACACCCTGGGGAACAAAACAAAATGCACGAGAACACGCACCTTCAAGAAACCAGAAGATGAGGCAGCCATCCTTCTTGAATTGAAGTTTTGGGTGAACCAGGCGCCCAAATTTTGCACCCGATTGTCCCATATGCAAGAGTGCCAGCCACCTGTCGGGCTCACTGAAGAGCTTGTAGATTCAGAGAAGTTGCCTTCGGATTATGAAACCGGTTCTGAACAAGAAAAACCAGCAAGCAGCAAAGCCAAGCCAGTGGTGTCCCAAGCAAAGGCTGGCGGCAAAAAACAAAAGCTTTCGAAATCACAAGCCAAAACCACGCCAGAGGCGAAAGGCCATCATGTGAAGTCAACAAACTCAAGCGACAGTGAAAGTTCAAGCAGTTCGAGTTCGGATTCCAATTCCAGCTCCTCTTCAAGCAGTTGAAGCGTTTGTCGTGCGCGCTTGGAAAGAAAAAGAGTTTGTTCAAGGACGTGCGACACAAGCACAGCGCGCAAAGTCCAGACTCTTGTTTCTTCTTTCACTGTTTGGTGTAGTTCTCAAGCTCAGCTGGGCGTGGGCTTGCCTTTGATCATTGATCTTGCTGAGGCTTGAAGGCGCCAGTTTTTGGGTGATGTTGTAGGCAAGATGTGTCTCTTGGATGAATGCGTTTAAAGTGCGCAAGTTTAGACATGCGCTTGGAGAGAGGTGTTGACTCAAAGAGATTGCGCAGTCGCTGTGGTCACCGTGAGGCTAGGACCTTAGGACTTACATTTGTGTTGGAACTTCGTTTCTGGAGCAGGTCGAAAGCTCAGCCAAACCCCAAATTCAAACTCAACCCACCAAGCGACTTTCTCCAAGAGCGGCCACAAAAGGCTCCGAAATTGGTACAGTAAAATAAATGACAAATGATTTGAAGTGAAGTGATCTCAGTGACCAAATTCAAACTTCAAACACATAGTTGCCTTGACCCAGGCCTGTACTTGGCGTTTTCTGGTCACGAGCATCGACCGGTGGAGGATCGGAGCCCGTTGCCAGTAGATTCCATTTTTGCCCCAAAGATCCACCAAAAAAATTGAAAATGAGCTCGAATCGGTTGGTTTTCCATGTTTTCTTCATATTCTTGCAGTTTTCCAATTAGATGCATCCTTGGGTGAACTTTGAATCTTTTTGCCCTTGCTTGAGCCATGCACTCCCCCTCTGTCCACTTTTTTCCCACTCTTGCTTGATTCTCCTCGACTCCCCTCGACTCTCCTCGACTCCCCTCGACTCTCACGCTTATATATTCTATATTACCATGGCTACCCTGCTCGACTCCCCCTCGACTCTCCTCGACTCTCCTCGACCCTCACCCCTGTGCACAGGAGCCGGAAGACAGCTCTCCAGATCACCTGCTCACAAGCAAGGCCGATCCAGACGTTTTGACGTGTTGGAGTCAGGATTTGGACCATTTCACAGATTCTCATTGGAATTTCAAGGAAAATAGGTTCCCACCACTTTTGCTGGCAGATCCAGGTTTTGTCCGGTCTCACCGGATTGACCGAAATCAAACCAAGACAGGTTGGCGATTATGTAGTTCCTTTTATGTACATCTCCTATTCACATGTATTCTGAATAAAAACAATATAGATAAATATAGATGTAATTGAAAATAAATGTCAGATAGATAAACTTCAGATTCCATTTGGAGTAGAGAGTATATAGATGTGAACCAGTCAGTATGAACATTAAAAACGAGAGTTCTTATTGCGTATATTCACATTTATAACCATCAAGAATCGTAGACTATACATATCCAAATCTGTATGTATTTACATATCCAATTATACATACTTGAAATGGGCCTGGTGCACATACACACATATATGTACACACAAAGGTGCGGAGTGTTTAGAAATATCACAGGTAAACGCAAGTGCAATAAAAACTATATATATACACACATTCCATGAGATGTCAAAAGGCTTTATAGGAAACGCCCTCAAACATAAAGCTGGAGGGCGCTTCATCCTATAGGGCCTTTTGACCTTCGTTGGTTTATTGGTATTTACATGTATAGTATTTATATGTATGCACGCATGCGTCTATGTGTTTAGTCATTTAGTTAACAGCTATTCTAGAAATAAACACACATACACATTGAAACGGCGTGTCTTTTGAATGTTCTCCAGTCAATGGAGCTTGCGCAGGCCAATGGAACTTGACTTGTCGCCGACGGTGCCACAGAGCAGCAAGCGCCGTAGACGTGCGCGGGCTGGCAGCCTTGATGATCAGTGCGCCCAAGAGGCTCTTGCGCGTGGCCCTATGACAGCTGAAGAGCTGTATGATTGGCCCAGCCGCGCGTTCAACATAGTGGAAAAGTCGGGGCCAAAGGCTGCTACTGCTTTGGCCAATTCTTTGAAGGCAGGCGTTCAATTCATCACGTGGTACTCTGGGAAAGGTACTGGAGAATCTGTGATGACCTTCTGCGAGGATGCCATTGTTGAAGGACTTGGGATGGGCGTTCAAGACTTGAGGTCTTTTCAGAGTTGTTCCGCTTGCGATGTAGATCATGATTGCAGAGAAGTTTTGGGGCTACATCCAGACCGTTGCCGGCCGAAACACATTTTTGGTGACATTCTTCATCGTATCCCTTTGCAAGATCCTGACCTCAGCACGCTTCCAAATGAAGAGGTCCGAAAGTTTTTGGTGCAAAATGGAGCGAAGCTTTTCACTCCTGAGAGCACAAGCTTTTGTTACGTTCATGGCCAGGCCTGTGCTTTGTGGGATGGGCTTGACCATCCTGGCCAGAACACTCACCACGAGAGAACTGCTTTCATTGGAAGCATGGTGGGGTTCACCTGTGTGGATTGGAGCCCTCGGAGCATGACTGCAGCCCCAGGTTTGCAAGGTAAGCATGCTCCAGTTATGCATCATTGGCTTCAAGAAGTCCGGCAGTTGGAGCCTGACTTCCTCATTTACGAGCAGTCAGACAACTTCCCCCCAGAAATTGTAGACCAGGAGCTGGGTGACATTTACCGGCATGATCACGCTGTCATATCTCCGGATGATCTTGGATGGCCAGTGAGACGAAATCGCTTGTTTGGTGCGCTCACTCACCGCCGCAGCGTGATTTTCACAGGAGACATGGAGAGGTTTCTGCAGCTCTTCCGTTGCAGAGTCGAAGGCGACGGGGATTGGATGCTCCAGGCAAAGCAAGAGGAAGTGGACAGCTGGAAGGTCAACAAGGCAGCGTCCAGGGGCTACCCAAATGTACGCCCAGAGAAGATCTCTCTTGACATGCTCATCACACCCGCTTACCTCGACAAAATGACTGGCTACCGGAACTTGCGTGACTCACGCCAGGGGATGGCGGGAACTTTCATCGCTGATTTGGACCAAGCCCCAGGCTATGCATCTTGTGGCCCGTGTATTCCAGTCTTGCCGACCCACAATACTTTGTATTCATTTTCTGGCGAGCGCTTCTTCACTGCTGGGGAATGCTTCGCTGCGATGGGCGCCTCAGCAGCCTCAGGGTCATGGCTTGGGAGTTCACAAAAGGTGTTGGGGCTTCTTTGAACCTTTTTGGGTTTCAAATGGTCAACTCTTTGAGGTGGAGGTGCCTGTTGTCATCCCATCATGGTTCTCCCAATGTTTGCTTGTAGGGAAAACAGGGGGCATACAATACACAAAGCACAGGCTTTAAGATCCAAGCACGTCGTAAAGATGTTTGTGCCTCACTTGGGTCCCTGGGTGTGGTGTGGATCTCTTGTTTTTAAGTTATAGAGGTTCTTCCGCAACGCTTGGGCGACGTGAATCATGGCAGTTTTACACAAAGGAACACTGTGCCAAGGAGTCTTTTTGCTGGCAATGGGATTGGGAAGACGAATGTCAAAGATGCGTTTTGTTTTTGTTTCCACTGAAAGGGGTAGGTTGTTAGTTGTTAGCTGCCATTCCTTGTGTTCCTTTGCTCGCCCGAGTGGCCTACCCAGGTGAGAACATCTTCTTTGGAGGAAAGTATCGAAGCATCTTGCCAGATTTTGTGTGGAATCCATCAACGCACGCTGTTGATCGAGTTGCCAGGAAACTGGCTGGAAATTCATTTCACTTGGGTGTAGCAGGCCCGCTGCTGATGTACACCCTGGGGCACATGCATCCGATTCCCAAAAGCGTGCCACAGTCAATCTCTTTTAGATCCGATTTGGGCACCAGTCGTTCCAAGTCGACTATATTCGCTGACTCGCAAGAAGAGGATTCCCAGCCGCAGCCCACTTAAATGGCTCGTGCTGATCTGATGATTTCGTAAGTTTGGTAGATCAGGTTTCGGTTTTGACAGACGGCTGGACAGCGGCTGGACAGTTGCTTGAAGAAAAGTCTTGCTTCGTCATGCTGCACACATGTCATAGTCAAACAGCGTGAATGCAGCAATGACGTCAGGTTCAGGCACGATTGTTTTTCTTTTTCAACGCAGGATTTTTTGGGGGAATACGTGCTCGGCTGGGAACATTTCAGTCCAAGTTTTCACTTGTGTTTTGCTCAACTGAGCTGCAGCTACCATGGTTGATTCAGCTCCGAAAGCTGAAGCTCTTGAAGCTCTTGAGGCCCCAACTCCGCCGGCTCCTACTCCGGCAGCTAATGAGGTGAAGAAAGAGGCAGATGCTGTGGCCACACCTGCTGCTCCAGCGGTTAGCCAGGAGGCCAAAATCTCACCTTCCAAAATGAAGCTTGAGATGGATGTGATGGATGATGGCGATGGTGGTGTCACAAAGCCTCTCAGCAAAGATGCTACTTCTGATACCCAGACTGCGGCTTCTTCCAAGAGTGGATGCGCCGAGCAGTTGTGTGCTTGTTGTGGGCAAGAGACCCGAGTGCCGAAGTGCATTTACGGGCCAGAGTGCAAGAAAGCGCTCAACAACATTGACAAGCAAGAAGCCACCGCTACCAATCCGCCTAGATCAGGTCCAAGATGGAAGAGATGGCAGGAAACGAAGCGCCAAGGTGGACCCAAGCTGAACGGCGTCATCATGGCCTACAGGAAAACCTGCCAAGAGTCCCAGGGTTCAGGCAAAAGCAGGGGCAAGTATGACTTTGTCCGCTCTTTGGAGGAGATGAAAGTGAGCACGGAAGTTGCACAGGGCAGCAAGCTGCGCTACATGACTCTTGCCCGGTGGTTGACTCATGCGCAGGAGGAGTTTGACATGAGCGTCACAGATGCAGAGAAGGATTGGACTGAGGCTGAGCGAGTAACTCCAGCATCGCTGAAGAGGCAAACCAAGAGCGGCCTACTTCGCCTCCCCATGCCTTATGAGGAATACATCACAGGTGAGGATGCGGTGCAGCATTCCAAGGCTCTCGTCGTAGAGGAGCAGCACAAGAAGGTTAATAAGGAGACACTGGGGAAGCTTGAGAAGCAGACACACTTGGGACAATTTGGTTTCAATGATGCTCCTTTTGAAGATGTTGGAGGCCGCCTCTTTAGCAAAGCATCATGTGGTGAGAAACCGCTTTTCAGTGGCTTGCGCTTTGGTGACCAAGGGCACGTGCAAGACCTTGGTTCTCTTTCTGGTGGTGTTCCTGACGCTCCTGCCGGTGCCGGTGAAGGCAGCAGCAGTGCTGGTAGCGGTGTTGCCGCCTCTGTTCCCCGACCAGCAAATCCGGGTCCAGAGCCACAACCGAAGCCGCAGCCAAAGAGGGCCAAACGGTACGATGTGGCTGCCAACCAGAACAAGTTGAACGAGCGAATTGAGCAAGATTTGATGGCTGCGTGTAAGAAGTTGCTGACGGAAGTGGAGGGTGAGAAAGACAAGATCATGGGCCTGCTGACCAATGCAGATTTGGACAAGTATCATGCCTACATCGTCACCATGAAGGCCCGGGCTTGCCTGGTGCGAATGGTCTTGTCCACAGATTCTGATGCAGAGGAGAAGTTGCGTAAGCACATGGAAGACTTGAAGAGTAAGCAGGAGCCCATGCCAGTCGAGGGGGCCATCACTTGCCTGTCAACTGCTCAGGCCTCCTTGAAGCAAAAAGTCCGCGAAGGCAAAGATGAAGACAGCATGAAGCTTGTTCAAAATGAATTGAAGGAAAGCGTTGCTATGTTCAAGAAGCTCTCGGCAGCTGCATCCCGGGCCGCCAGCGACCTCAAGAAAGCCCTGGAAGCTCGCAAGCGAAAGGCAGCTGTAGCCTTGCAGAAGGAGGCCAAGGCTGAGGAGAGGCAAAGAACGAAAGAGGAAAAGGAGGTTGCTAAGGCTGTCAAGCTTGCAAAGAATGGCACTGAGACACCATGCTTGTGGCTGCCGCAAAGTACAGTCGGCCACTTGCAAAAAGATTTGGTGATGGTCAAATCTTTGGCGGATCTTTTGACCGAATCCAAGCGTGATGCCAGTGCAATTGCCAAGGGCGAGCCTTTCTGTGTCGAAGATGCGTCTTCCGTGCAGAAGTACTTGACCGAAAACACTGAGTTGGCAGGCATCATGCAAGTCTTTGAGGCCCAGTACCCGATGTCCAGGCAGGCCAAGGAACGGCAACGAGCTCAGACACCGCCCCTAGGATGCAATTTGTTGAATTGTGTTTTCAGTTTCCTTTTTTTACCCATTCTTCCCTGCTGTGTTTTTTGATTTTCCGAACCTCGAGTTCCACAGAGGTTGAAACTGGAAGGAACCACCCTGCAGCAGAAAATGATGGAGTACATGGTCAACTCTCAGGGAGCTGTAGCAGGTGACGTGCAGGTGTCGGCCTATGGTTTCACCAGCGCAATGCAATTCGCAGGGCCTGAGTACTTAGCTATGCCAACGCTGAGATTTGCTTCAAAGGGGCAGAGGGAGATCATCATTGCAAATGTCCATGACCTGTGGTTCAACATGCCGGACAGCCAGAAAGCAGGGCTGCAGCTCACTGAGGAGTTCAACGTCACCACGGTTTTGGGCAACGGTATGATGGCAGTGAATTTGGCAGATGGGTGGTTGGGGCAGCTTGCAAAGTTGCCGAAGGAAGAGCAGAAGATCTTGTACCGTGGCATCATCAAGGAGAATTCCATGCTGTACCTGCCCGGTGGCGTGATTATCCTTGAGAAATGCTTGAATGGGAAGCCGTGTTTGGGTTTGAGGATTAGCGTCCCAGACTCCTCCCCAATCACAAAGAAGAACTTGGAGGTGTTGCTTAGTGTTCACTCTGCTTATGCGCCAGAGGATTCCAAGCTGTCAAAGCAGTGGAAGACTGCGCTTGGTCGTGACTGAGGACGGAAGGTCCATGGATGTTGACGCAGAGGCGATCTTGGCAGCTTGATTGCCGCAGTGGCGTGGTTTGAGTGAGCTGAAGCGTAAGACATCTTTGGTAGCTCTCAGAGGTTTCAGTTTTGAAGGCACCAGTTCAGATCCCATCAACACAGCACGCTGGTTTGATGGTATTTCATTTCATGCTGTTGGTTGTTTGGGGAGGTGCCTTGGGGATTTCTAGGGGCACGCCGTGTCATTGCGGGGAATCTGCAATGTTGTGTGCCATTGACTGGCTTTTGCGAATCACGAACTATCAACCGTGGCGATCACAGGGTTGTAGATGGGAAAAACGTGAGTGGTTTCAAGAGCCTTGCTGAAGTTGTTTTGATTCAGCAGAAACTTGCACATGCTGTCGTGACGTGTGTGGCTTCGATGAGCCAGTTGTTTAAGAAATGCCCGCTGTTTATTTAAACGTTCCCCTTTCGACCTTTGGACGCTTCCACTCCCGGCATCAAGTGCGTATCAAAGCTGCGGTGTGAAGTATAAAGCCCTTAACTTCAGGTAAATTCAGGGTGTGCCTGCCGTGTTTTGCACTGTGCGCTTTCACAAAACATTCAGGCCCCCAATCCAGAGACGTGCCAATCACGGAAGTGTAGCCACTTGAACCAAACAGGCGCACATGGTGCCAAGACACACTGCAGTCAGACAGTAGAGACCTCACGCCTAGAAAACTCATTGAAGCACCTGCGCAAAGAACATGTGGCTGGAAACATTTCGCTCTGTTTTCTCACTTTGTGTTTCAACCGTGGGCTTTGCAGAAACGGATCTCAAATATAATTTATGGGATTCCATTCGCAAGAGAGGTTGTCACAATCTCGGGTCTCGGATCAAAGTAGACTAGTCATGCAGTTGACTCAGAAACACTGAAACACTCACCCCTCACCGGCCCTCACCAGGCGGAGCAAGGTTTGAAAGAACGAGCGGCCCCAGTCAAGAACCAAAGCTGGCAAAACAACTCACACTGCTGCCTTCTATGACGCAAGGCCCGCAAGGCCCCGCTATTAGTCATGCCTCATGCCTTTCTGGTAGTATTCTATTGGTGTGATTTTTTCTCGCTGTGTGATCTTTGGTGTTGTCGTGTTTCCTTGTGTGCTTGAATGCAAGCGCTGACTCTTTCATAGGGTCCGGTGGACTTGTTATTGGTGGCGTGCAAAAGACATAAACGCGTTGGTGATTATTTGAAGTAAAAATATTGCATTGGAACAGTAACAAGTAAGACTCAATAATCCGCCGGTAGTGCCCACTGTGATCTGGCGCTCGCTGTTGAGGTCCGGGCGTGCCCTCGCTGTTGAGTGCCGGTAGTGCCCACTGCGATCTGGCGCCTGGCGCTTGCTGTTGAGTGCTAGTAGTGCCCACTGCCATCTGGCGTTCGGTCCAACATGACAAGTGTGGATCAGGCTCAGGCTCATCGCCAGTAACTGCGAGTGTGAATGTTGCATGGACAGCCGGCGCTGATAGCGGCGGGGAGATCTCCACCTCCGGTCTTTGGATTCGTGTGGATGCGCGCCGACAAAGGCTTTGGTAAAATAATGATTGGGCTTCCAAATTTTCAGGCTGGGCTTATATGGTAGGAGGCCTTTGCAAAACTTTTGTTGGCATTTTTGGGAAGTGGGCTCGTTGACGCTCCAAACTTGGTTTGCAGAGGCTCCCTTGTGGCTCCCATCTCCAGAGATACCAGGAGTCCATAGGTATGTGAACCTATGCAAACTACCGGCCCTGACGAAAATTACTAAACAGAAGTCCTGAGTCTCCTGCCGAATGAACCCAACCTCTTTGCGTCCACTCACTGTTGGGACCGATGTCAAGCAGATTGGTATAGCCAAGTCCTGAACCGCTCTCACCTCCGCCGTCTGCGATCTCACCATGCCTCCTCCTCTCTGGACTATTCCACCTCATCGCACTTCAAGTATAGTCCCATGAGTTTCTGTGCTGCGATAGCTCTTTTGCAGTTTTGAAAGCATGCCTGCCAACAAACATACGCCAGCTATCAATGCCACAATGACCAAACAAAGAATCATGATGATCACTTCCAACCTGATCACTTCGTCTCTGTTGTTCTGCAACGCCGGACATTGTTTCTTTCCCTCATCTCCCGCAGCTCACTCAAGGCTACATCTGCCAGCAAAGCTCCTAACGTCAATCTGGTCAACTTCTTTGCAACCTGGCGAAGCCTTCTTCTTCTCCTATCATCCTCCTCACCGACTTCAACCTTTGCTTTGCTTCTTGCTTCTCTTTCTCAGCAATGAACTCTTCAACTCCAAGGTTGCCGTGGTCATACCATTCATTTCGGATCTCACTTCACCAAGCTGCGAATGTTCTTCGTGACTCTCTCCAGCAAACGGTTCGTACTTTGTGTATGATTTGCCAATGGTTCAGCAAGTCGGAGCTTCATTCAAGTTCTTCTATTCGGGCTGTAGCTCCTTCATCTTCCTGTATCATCTCTCGTAGGTTCGCATTCATAGCCATGTTGCACTTTGTCAATTGTGAAAATTCTTCCTGCGATTCACCGCAGCGTCCTGCGTACCCGTCGTGTAGACATCTGTACTCATCATTCAGGTACTGATATGATACTCTGGCTGAGCGAAGTTCTTCCATTAGTCTCATTTCCGTTTCTGTGACATCCTTGGCATCTTCGATCTCGACTCTTTACATATATCCCTTTTGGGTAATCTTCGCGTCGTTGTTCTCGGCGATGTAGATCTTGCAAATCTCTTCAATACTCTTTTCGAGTTGCCCGTTCGATCTATCATCGGTCGTCTCCGGGGGAGCGACTCTACCTTCGGCTGGTATCTGTGACCCCGTTGGCATGGTCATCACTGCGGCGTCCGCAGAGCTCGCACCGGTCATCGATTCCGGTGATGAATGAGACGCGGGTCCTCCTGGCGCTGCGAAAGAGAACTGTTCGGAGTTCTTGCCTGCTGAGCTCGAGGTCAACCGTTGAAGATTGTATCTATATGGTCTCTGACAGGCTCGTATCCTCTGAGCGGATACGGCTGATAACCTGCATGTGGCTATTTATCAGTCCAACGTGAAGTATGGATTGACTATCCAAGTTCCCTTGTAGATGGCGGCAGCGCGCTTCTTTTCCGCGCTCTCCACTGGCGTCTTGACGTCTTGAGCCAGAATGGTTATAGTGATTCACGCTTGATATACTGTACACATATACTGTTGCCTATCGCTGCACTGCTATTGACAGAAGGAATATACAGCTAATGCAATATCATTGGACCTTGGTTGCGGTACGCAACATACCGTTTTCTATTTACAAGCGCTAAACACGACGACAAACATTAGGCTCATCTAGCTTGAGCCGGGTGTCTTCCAAATAGCAAGTGGCTTTTGATTTGGAACAGTACCTTGTTGTCAAGTTTCTTGCTGGCTGCGTTAAAAGCATGTAACACGGCCATGTAGTATATTTAGTTCTGCTTGGGAGCAAAGAGCTCTAAGAATGAGGCGGCAACATCCACATGCGCTTGACACATGCAAGACTGACCAATATTTTTTTTTTAAAAATATATATATATATATATACAGTCATGGAACTTCAAATTTAGATTCCTTCGTAGTGGGCAGCCATGCCAGCGTGGAGATATGATGACGATGGAGTAGACGTTACACGTGAAGAGGCCGCAGAGACCATCTCCTTCCTCACAACCACGAACATCCCTGAGCATCCAGAGATTAAAAAAATCAACCTCGGAAAATATTGATCTCAGGTCTGTTTTTGAAGTCTTCTTTTTGACCTAGGTAAAAACATGCTATCTGGGGATTGAAACTATCAATCTTTTGAGATTGATTCTTTCAATCCCAGCTTCGCAGATTGAAGTATCTCTGAGATTGATTTTTTCAATCCGAAAATAGCGCTTTTGTGCATACTACAGCTGTTTTTCTTCAAGGTTGTTACTAGTTGTCAGAAAGGCTGTGGTTTGAAACAAAGCCCAATTAATGTCTGGAAGGGGACGTTCTAGGAAACTCCCTATCACTATGGTGAATACAGAAGACTTGCAGGAGGTCATAGACTTGGCTGTGACCAAGTTCAAAACAATGCGAAAAAGCTGCTTCCTTTGTGCAGTGGTGAAATCCTCCCCTGGCAATTGAAAAATGCCATGAGGGAGCGTGCAAGCACACACACAACCCCCCGATACAGGCATGACTTGTGGGCTGCCAACCAGGGTGCCAAAGTCACAGTTCTGCTGAATGCTGTCAAAAGGAGGCAGGCTTTGCAGAAGTTGGGCAAGATCAGGCAATAGCTTGGAGGCCTTGCTTGCCTTGTCTCCAGGCCTGGAGGCTTGCGAGAAAGCCAAAGGCCAGAGCTCAAGCAAGGAGGCTTGCAAAAAAGCAACGTCCTGCCAAGGAGGCTTGCAAGAAAGCCAAAGGCCAAAGCCCAAGCAAGGAGGGTGGTGAAAAAGACAAAAAGGAAATTCCTGCATAGGGGGCTTGCAAGAAAGGCAGCAAAAGTCCTGCCAAGGAGGCTTGGAAAAAAGCCAAAAGCATGACACCATACAAAAAAAAGCATCAAACAAGGCCACAGTTCCCATTTCACCAGTGTTCTTGGATACAGAAGGGTATCCTAGGATGTTGTCAGAAGATTTGGGATCCAGTGGCATGGAGGAATTTCTACAAGAAGAGGCTTCCCACAGTGGCTTGGAACAAAGCCTGCAAAGTGGTAGAAAAAGTATGCTCAGGCAAAGGCTGAAAGCAGTGGCTTGAAAAAAGCCAAAGCAGCAGCCATAAAAATAATCCTTTGCCGTTGTTGTCCAAAAAGGCCAAGGTGCACAAGCAGACCCTCGCAGCACAAGCTGCAGCTGCCATGGACATTGTAGCTGAAGCCAATGCCATGCCAAAAGGCAGCCTGATAGGAGCAAGCAGCAAAAAGGCCAGCAGCATGTGCCAAAAGACCAGCAGCACATTTGGAAGTGCAAGGCTCTCCAGCCAAAAAGAAGCATGAAACAATGCCAAAG